CTTGACATCCCTGGCCAGATTTAATTCGGGGCTTTAACTTCCTCAACTCCTCTCCATGTGTGCAGGAACAGCGACTTTCTTCCACCTGTGTTGACAGGCCCCTTCTCTCTTGTTGATGGGGAATAAGCTCCTCTGGCTTCCAGTATCTGAAGGGGGCTACAAGGATGCTGGAGAGGGGCTCTTCATCAGGTACTGTAGCGATAGGACAAGGGGTGATGGGTTCAGACTGAAATAGGGCAAGTTCAGCTTGGATCTAAGGCAGAAGCTCTTCCCTGTGAGGGTGCTGAGGCGCTGGCACAGGGTGCCCAGAGAAGCTGTGGCTGCCCCATCCCTGGCAGTGCTCAAGGCCAGGTTGGACACAGGGGCTTGGAGCAAGCTGCTCCAGTGGAAGGGGTCCCTGCCCATGGCACGGGTTGGAGCTGGGTGAGCTTTAAGCTCCCTTCAACCCAAACCAGGGTGGGGTTCTATGACCTGCACTGTCAGGACTAACTCCATCTTTTCTTTCTCAGAAGCAAAGGAAGCTCATCTCTGGAAAGGGATTTCTCATTTGCTGATGCATCCAGTAGCCCCAGCGCCCTGCAGACACCTTGCCCAGTTCAATGGGAGCTGATCTGAGCCCTGTGGTACAACTCTGGCTGCAGCAGCATCACCATCACCACTGAAGGAGATCTTTGCCTTTTGCATCTAGAAGCAGCTAAACTGAAGATTTCTCTAAGGCTTTTTCCTCTCCATCACTTTTTCCTCCTGTTAAATTCAAGATGTTCAGTGAGGTATAAAACCCTGTTCCTCTAAATTGCAAAACAGAGCCCCAGCCTTCACACAAACATCCATTTTCATGAAGCCTTTAGGGAAAACCAGTTCAATCCTCCTTTTCCTGCCTGTCCATATGGCATCATTGGACTTTGAGTTCACTGCATGTCTAATGACAGCAGAACTGACAAGCTATTTATCTCTTGAGTGCTAGTCCAGGCTTCTCTTCAAGAGGGTGATTTGGCTTGATGGTTTGACACTTCCATTAGAAGAGCAGCCAGGCAGATCCATCCTCTGCCAGTCACTGCAGCTATTGGGAACACTTGTCAAACTTGATGCCACTGAGATATCCCAAGGTGGCAAATGCAGCTAAAATAACTGGTGCCCTAATAGAGCTGGAGACTGGTGATACTTGTGATGGCACTAAATGATGCTGATTTCGGGTTGGTCACATGCTCCCTATTCAATCCATGCTACATGGAGTATAAACTGACACTTTGGAGTGGCAAGGCACCAAAGGTATCTGTGTCCTACCGAGGCTGGTTCCACCTCTGTGGTGGTGCCTGCCAAATCAGGGGTTTCAACTAGGCAAAGCCAATGTGCAGGTATAAAGTAGTAAAGCTGCCTCAATTCACTGCCAGTTACCCAGCTTGGGAGAGTGAACTTGGGGTCAGGCATAGTGAAACCACTGCTTGGTTACCCAGCCTGGGAGAGTGAACTTGGGGTTAGGCATAATGAAACCTTGGTTTCATTCAGATAGGACTTTGTGAGGGTTCACAAGAATCTTGCATTCCACATCTGCTTTCATGGAATCACGGAATGGTTTGTGTTGGAAGGGACCTTAAAGCTCATCCAGCTCCAACCCCTTCCACTCTGGCTGCATGCACATTCATGTCCATTGAGCATCCCAAGTCACCTCCTGCACCACAGTGTTAGAGGCAATGCTGAACAGCAAAGGGCATTTGACAGCTGCTGCTGGTCCTGTCTTCTCCTGTGCTAGACAGGTCCCAGGACTCAGTGAAGCTCAGATGACACAAAGCACTCCAAGGTGCAGATGTTTTAGGTAACCAAAGACCAGCCCATTCAGGCATTGCCCTGAAGGCAATGACTGTGCCTTAAAACATGAGGCAAGAACCAGCTCTGCGTTCCTGTGGCCACCTGCACTGCAGACACGGATGCAGTCCATTCCTTTAAGCACAGGAAAGAAACCAATTAGAAAGATGATGGATGCCAGGAGGCTCTGAAGCAAGAAGCACTGCACTGAAAGGTTTGGTCACTGCCTTTTCTTCTGGTCATCCATGTAAATCATTAGGTTTGCTGAGGAGCTAAACTGTCAAGTACAGGAGCCTGATGCAGCAGGAGGGGACAATGAGCCTCTTGGACCAGCGTGACAGTCCTTGTACTGAGGAAGCTGAAGGCTTTGCCGCTGTGCTCTTCCCCAACAGGTCCTGCAGGTCAGCAGCAGCACTGGGAGATGCTGCTGGCAGCAGGCTTTGTGCACCTCCTGATACAAAGAGGTCCCAGCGCTGCTTCTGCACTAGATCCATGGGTGCCTTCGAGGTGAAGGACCTCGGGTGCACTGGATTGCACTTAGAGTTGTCTTGCAGCCAGGTTTCCAAAGAGGACAGATGGAGACCAACTGTGAGAACAGATTGCTCTAGAGACTTCACATTTTCCATGCCAGAAATAGTACCTCCAGTGATTAAATCCCACTGCACCCCTCCCACCCCACCAAACCCCTCCATAACAAAGGCAATGGACTCCTCCAGCCTTGTGAAGCTCCACAATGAGATGTTTCAATGGAAGGGTGAGTTTTTACATGTGGTCCATGGCAGAAGGAACATTTACCCCACAGTTACAGAAGAAGAAGCCAAGAGGGAGAGTTTGGGGCAAGAAAGAGCAGTTCCCAAGCAAGAGGCACCACTTTAGGGCAAGGTACTGAGCACATTTGTCCACTTCAGCTGACCTCTGCCTTTCCCCCTTTGCCATTCTGTGGTTCCAAAGAGGTGAACCCAGCTGGGATGTGGGTTTGTTCTGGCATACTGGCCACGTTTCCTTTTGGAATGTGTTCTCCGGGGTGGTCACATTTACCTGCGTTTCCATTGGGCCATCGGTGACATCTACAGAAAGAAGGGAAGAATTAAAGTTGGAAAGTCCTTCTTCAACTTGGCAGCCCACAGGGACAGGAATGGCTTGAACCTGCCCGAGGGGAGACTGAGCTGAGCTCTTAGGCAGAAGCTCTTCCCTGTGAGGGTGCTGAGGCGCTGGCACAGGGTGCCTGTAAATAGAAGCATTTTTTGGCATCATTTTGAACTTCAGATGCTGCTGTCACAGAACCCAGCCTGGTTTGGGTTGGAAAGGACCTTGAAGCCCCTCCAGCTCCAACCCCTGCCACAGGCGGAGACCCCTTCCACTGGAGCAGCTTGCTCCAAGCCCCTGTGTCCAACCTGGCCTTGAGCACTGCCAGGGATGGGGCAGCCACAGCTTCTCTGGGCACCCTGTGCCAGCGCCTCAGCACCCTCACAGGGAAGAGCTTCTGCCTAAGAGCTCAGCTCAGTCTCCCCTCGGGCAGGTTCAAGCCATTCCCCTTGGCCTGTCCCTACAGGCCCTTGTCCCAAGCCCCTCTCCAGGTTTCCTGCAGCCCCTTTAGGCACTGGAGCTGCTCTAAGGTCTCCCCTTCAGGAGCCTTCTCTTCTCCAGGCTGCCCCAGCCCAGCTCTCTCAGCCTGGCTCCAGAGCAGAGCTGCTCCAGCCCTCGCAGCGTCTCCATGGCTTCGCTCCATCAGCTCCATGTCCCACACCCCAGAGCGTTCAGGGTTCAGTTCCCAGGGGGTTGCAATGGGCTCTGGACCAGCCTGGGCACGCAGCTGGGTTTGTCTCCATGATGCTGATGAGTGTTTCAGGGAGCAGGACAAGCCAAATAATCTTTTATGAGGCTGCTAAATCTGTTCCTTGTGGGGTGAATGGGGCCGAGTCACCCAGTGCAGTCATTTGGGAGGGTGTGAATGGAGCACTTTAGCTGGGAAAGCTGCTGCAGTTCAAGGGGGTATGACTGTGCTAATCCCTACATCAGCTGCAGACACTGAGAACCTGCTCTAGTGGAAGGTGCCCCTGCCCATGGCAGGGCTTGGAGCTGGATGAGCTTTAAGGTCCCTTCCAACCCAAACCAGGCTGGGATTTGGGCCCCAGACCAGACAGCTGGGCTTTACCTCAAGGGTTTCCTGGCTCTCCATAGCACATCACCTCGATGAGAGGATGCCACACAACCAATGACAGGCAGCTCCCCCTCCCCTGCCCATGGCCCTGCCGTTGCCCTGCCCATGCCCTTACCCCTGCCCTTGCCCTGCCCTTACCCTTGCCCTGCCCATGCCCATGCCCTTGCCCTTGCCCCGCCCCTGCCCTGCCCACCCTCTGCTCTCCTCCAATAGCAGCTCACCTCCGCGTCGAGTTCGAAACGCCGCCACTCAGGGGGCGTGGCTTGGCCTTACCCAATCAGCGCCGGCGGGGGGCGGGGTTTCCCCCTGGTTGCTAGGCGCCGGGGGAAGCCCCGCCCCTGCTGCCCGCGCCGCACCACCTCCTCCGGCCGTGGGTGATTGTGAGGAAGGGGTAGTTAGGGGAGAGGGGTAATTGGGGGGGTAATTAGGGCAGAGGGGTAATTAGGAGGGATAATTAGGCGGGGAGGGTGCTCAGCTCCTCCATTGTGGGTGCTCAGGCTGAGGAGCGGTGAGGTAATCTGGGGGGGGGGGCAGGATTAGGCCTTAGTGCCCTGGGGGGGGCCCCCCCTTCGTCAGGTGGGAGGCCTGGGGTGGGTTTATGTGGGCTGGGGGAGTCCCTGTGGAGGGCTCTGCCTTGGGGGGGGGTCCTGGCCTGTAATGTCCAACCCCTGGGGCAGCTTTGGGGTGTCCCCTGCACAGGGAGGGGGGCTTTGGGAGGGGGAGAGGGGCCCTGCCTGCTGCAGGGAGGGGGCACGGGTGGGTGACCCCATCCAAAGCACTTCCGGGGTCCCAGCATGGCAGAGGGGGGATATTGAAGGGGAAGGGTGGGCCCCGGGGGTGCTTATTGGGCTCAGCTGGGGCCTGCGGGGCTCAGAGGGGTGATAAAGGATGGGGTTGGGGCCAGTCCTTCCTCTGAGAGCAGGAGCAGGCTCCCACCAGCCTGGCCCCGGGTTAACCCCCGTTAGCCCGAAGGAAGCTCTCAGTATTAAACACTGTTGTTGCCGTCCCGTTCGGGCAGCGCTGACCGCCGGGTTCCGCCACCTCCGAGCCTCCCACAATGCAGAGAGCATCGCGGCTGAAGAGGGAGCTCTCGCTCCTGAGCACGGAGCCGCCTCCGGGCATCACCTGCTGGCAAGAGGCAAACCGGGTGGATGAGCTCCGAGCACGTACGTACCCCTGGGGGGGGGGGGATGAGCTGGAGTTTGCTGCTAGGCTTAGATTTGCTGGGTGGTACCCGCTGGATGGGTTATGGGGATGGCTGGGATTGTAGGGTTGGCTTTCTTTAAGCTTGGCTCAATGGTTCTGATTGCCGTGGGGTGGAACTGGTCTCACAAATGCCATCTTTGTGCCTTGCTCTTGACCTTAAGGGCTCTGTAACTGCTGCAGATGCTGTCGGACGAATTGCAGTGGGTTTGAATGTAACGCTTCTGTCTGAATTCTTGCTCCTAAAGAAATCGTAGGAGGTGCAGGCACCCCGTATGAGAAAGGGATCTTCGACCTGGAAATACTGGTTCCTGAGAGGTGAGTGGGCAACGACATCTAGTGAGGCAGCTGGGGTAGTGCTGCTCTCAGTTAAGATCCTTGCTGCAGGTGCTTCCTTTAAGTCTTTCTTTGTTGGGAGGTGAAAGGAATGGGGTGGATTAGGTGAGAGCCTTCGTTTAAGGACTGTTGTTAGCTGATTTCCATGAGCTGCTGTATTTGATTCACATGGGACGTTCTTTAGTGTGTGATTAAAAGCACCAGGACAAGATCCCTGCCTCCTTCTAGTGCTTCAAAGCTTCTGGAAAGGAGTTTGTTCATGAGTGGAAAGCTTCCTCCCCTGTTTGCTTTGTGGGAAGCTACCCAGGGAACTGCTATTGGGATGTGGTAAAGGCAGAGCCTTACCTCCTCCAGGCATCTGTGGGGAAGGATGCCACTTACTCTATGGCCAGGGGAGGGAATGATGGCATTATTGGATGCTGATGTAGAAAAGAAAGTAACTTTATGTTTCTTGATGCTTGTCCTTAAAGGTACCCCTTTGAGCCCCCCAAGATTCGCTTTCTGACCCCAATTTATCATCCTAACATTGACTCTGCTGGGAGGATTTGCCTGGATGTTCTTAAATTACCACCAAAGGTAAGAGAACTCCTTGGGCCTGAGCACGCCAGTGACCTCCTTGTCTTGTTCTTGTAAAGCCCTTCTTGAATGTCTGTTTGCTACTGACTTATTTACACAGGAGCACGGGAATAAAGCTTCTGAGCAGCATCTCCTTTGTTTAGAGACGAGAACATGAGCTTTTCTTCCACAGAAGGTCCCAAGGTTTTAGGGATTGCTGTCAAAAGGCATTAGGTGGTTCTGCAGATGTGGGTTACCGTGGTCCCACCAAGCAGAGCCAAGGAGGATGTAGCATCAGGCTTCCTCAGGGAGGCCATCACTGCCTGAGTGTTGAGAGCAAGGCTGGGGCTGAAGTGCTGCACATCCTGAGGCGGCTTGTAAGCAGATGAGGTTTAAATGCTGACAGTCCTGAGGCAGCCCATGGGCATGTTTCATAGAACAGACTGGTTTGGGTTGGAAGGGAGCTTAAAGCTCCTCCAGCTCTGACCCCTGCCATGGGCAGGGAGCCCTTCCACTGGAGCAGCTTGCTCCAAGCCCCTGTGTCCAACCTGGCCTTGAGCACTGCCAGGGATGGGGCAGCCACAGCTTCTCTGGGCACCCTGTGCCAGTGTTCCAGTAGCCTCATAATGAAGAACTTCCTCCTAATATCTCATCAAACTCTTCCCTTCTCCAGCTGGAAGCTGTTTGTCCTCATCCCATCCCTACATCCCTTGTCCCAAGCCCCTCTCCAGGTTTCCTGCAGCCCCTTTAGGCACTGGAGCTGCTCTAAGGTCTCCCCTTCAGGAGCCTTCTCTTCTCCAGGCTGCCCCAGCCCAGCTCTCTCAGCCTGGCTCCAGAGCAGAGCTGCTCCAGCCCTCGCAGCATCTCCATGGCCTCCTCTGGCCTCGCTCCAACAGCTCCACGTCTCTCTTGTGCTGCTGCCTAGAGCTGGATCAGGGCTGTGGGGGCAGGTCCCAGGATTCTTCCTAACTGCTGCTCTCACCCTGTTTCCTTGCAGGGTGCGTGGACACCTTCCTTGAACATCTCCACTCTGCTGACCTCCATACAGCTGCTGATGGCAGAGCCCAACCCCGATGACCCTCTCATGGCATCCATAGTACGTGAGCTCTTCCTCTCCTGCAGCTGCAGGCACAGACTGGGGAGCAGCAGGGTGTTAGATTCAGGCTGTGCTTCCCCTTCCCCTGCTCTGGGCCAGGCCTGGGGGAACTCCTCTGTTTCCCAAAGGCAGCTGGGGCAGGTGGAGCTGGGCTCTGCAGGGATGTAAAGCTCTCGTCCTGCCATTGCAAACAGCAGTGTGTGTTCACTCAGCAAACAAAGAGCAGAAGTCACTTCATGTGTTGTGCCATGGGCTCATAGGGGTTTTGATCTGGGTTAAGGGTCCTAAAGCAAGACCTTAGGCCCAGCTTCTTGGTGGGGTGTTTGCATGAAGTCAAATCTCTCTTTGCCTTATGCTCAGTCCTCAGAGTACAAGTACAAAAAGGAGCTTTTCCTGCTGAATGCCAAGGAGTGGACTGAGAAGCATGCGAGCCAGCAGAAGAGGGTAAGAAGCACCCTCCGTGTGCTCAGCCGAGGGTGGCTCTGTCTGTGAGCAGCCCTCCTTATCCCAGTTTGCCTTTCACAGTCCCTTTGAGCAGCGTTCCCCTTCCCTCCCCTTCTGTCTGTTGGTTTGGATGGGTTTAATTTGGTTATACTTTATTTCAGATCATTAAAATCTAATGATGTTTGGGGTGTCTCTAGAGAAGGAGGCTCTGCACCCCCCCTCGGGCAGCCTGTCCCAGTGCTCTGCCACCCTCAATAGGAAGAAGCTCTTCCTCCTGTTGAGGTGAAACTTGCTGTGGTTCAGTTTCTGGCCATTGCTCCTTGTCCTGTCCCTGGGCACCACTAGGAAGGGTCTGGCACTGCCTTTGAGCTATTGATGGGATCCCCTTTCGGGCTGCTCCGGGCTCACCAGGCCCAGCCCCACAGTCACTTCCTCCTCCTGTTATCACAGGCTCTGGGAGAGAAGCTGGACCCCAGTGCCACGAGTGCCCCCGAGGGAGCTGATGCCCACAAGAGGAAAGGGAGCAGCGTGAGCCAGAAGGAGAAGAGCCCTCGCCTGGAATCCTGAGTGGGGTTTGTTCTTGTGGCTCTGCCCTTTTCCCTTTGCGCAGCTGGGCCTCAGTGGTGGAGCTGAATGGTGCCTGCAGCAGGTTTTCCTAGGGTTCCCGTGGGATGTTCCATTGTGTAAATAAGCCATAAAGCTTTAATTTCTACCTGGGTTTCTGGTTTGTTGGGTGGAGTTTATGGAATTTCCCAAAGCAAAGGGGAACGGGAAGTGCTGCTTCAGCTTCTGCCTTCCAGCTTTCAGAGAACTGACAACAGCACCAAGTATTCTGGTTTCTGCTTTACTCTCCCGTTTTCCTCCTAACACTGAAGTCACTAAAGGACACGAATCCTGCAGACCCTTGGAATTCCAGCTTTCCAGAGCTGTGTCAGACTCTGGATGCAGCTTGGACCAGGTCAGAGGATGCAGCTGCGCCTGGATGTGGTGTCTCACCAGTGCAGTGGGGTGAGGAAAAGCCCAAAGGGTGCCCACAGGTCTGGCAGTGGGATGGGGAAGGGAGATGGGCACCAACACCCTTCAGCTGGAGAGGGCTTGCAGGATGAAGGACAACCTCTAGGGGCAGGAAACCTCTTACCAGAGCCTCCTGCTCCACGCAGTTGCCTGCAGGGCATTTAACCCATGTCCTGTCCCTGCTCCAAGCAACCTGAGCCAGGCCCAGCCTTCTGTGTCCATAGGAGCAGAGACAGGACTTGGGAAGGAAGAGGCAGGGAATGAGAGAGCTGTGCTCTGACACACCAGGACCTGGAGCATCCTTCCTGCTGCTGGCTCCAACCCTGGGGCTGGTCCCTGCTGCACCTCGTCCTGCTCAGTCGAAGTTGTAGTAAAGGCAAAAGGCAAAGAACATGGCAAAGATCTGCAATGACAGGAGGGGGGAGCAGGTCAAAGCCCCCCCATCCTTCACCCCAGGTGGTTTCACACCCTGAGGCAGACCCCGTGTGTGCCCTCTGGGGGTGCTTGTGGCAGCCAGAGGCTGGGGAGAGCCCATCCTGCTCCCTTCACCCCCAGAGAACCCGGATGCGGTGCCTGCCCCATCCCAGCCCCATGCAGCACCTCGATGCCCAGCACAACCAGGCTGCAGATCCCAGGCAGAGACAGGAACTGCTGCAAGGCCCGGCCGAAGGCGGTGAAGCAGCCCTGGAGGAAGGAGATGCTGGAGGGGGCTCCTCATGCTCCCAATGGGGCCGGGAGCTCAGAGGGTGACCGAGGTACGGGCTGGATGAGGTGATGATGGAGGGAGCCCCCCACCTGCGCATGGATGTACCCAGGGCTCCGGTCCTGGCACTGCTCCCAGCCCAGCAGCTCCCCTGCCTGCAGGAGCCCATCACGGGTGCAGCACACGCGTGGCCACGGCATCCCCGGGTGCAGCTCCTGGAAGCAGGAACCGTTCCCAAAGTCTTCGGGTCCTAAAACCCCACAACAGGAGAACTGGACCGGAAGGGGAACACCATCAATGTGCTGCCAGCGGGGAATGGATGCAACAGCCCAGCACTGGGGGCCATGAGCCCCTCGGCAGGTCCCATGGGTGCTCACCGTGACCATGAGGGTGTTCCAGGCCGTGGAGAAGACCTCAGCACCCTCATCCCCGCGGTAGCTCCTCCGCAGCTCGGAGAGGAGCAGCTCCGGCTGCATCTGCAGGTACCAGGGATGGGGCCCACTCAAACCAGCCCCGTTCTATGGGATGCAGGTACCCACCCATGGGACCCAACCACCCAGTGTGAGGGGGATGAAGATGAGGGTGACGAAGGCTGCCCCCCACAGCAGACCCAGAGGAAGCAGGGCAGGAGGAAAGGGGCCGGTACCTGTTTCCAGTGCAGCAGGAAGAGAACGGCCCCAACGAGCTGCGTGACAAAGACGAGGCTCACGAGGATGAAGAACTGGAAAGCATTGGGATGAAGGTGTCAGGGACCAGCCCCACTCCAGCTCTTCCTGCCCTCCTCTGCAGCCAGCCCCTGCCTGTGCCCTGGGACTGAGGGACACAGGGGGACAAGAAAGGGGCTTCTGACCCTCACTGTTGGGGGGGGAAAAGCTTGGAAATGCCACAAGGGACAACCCAGTGACCCTCATTGGTGGCTTTTCACATCCTTTAGGCTCTACACAAGGTGGGGACTGGGGTGGGAGCTGCTTTGTCTTCCCCAGAGGGTGCTCAGGCATTGGAACAGGCTGCCCAGGGCAGTGCTGGAGCCACCGTCCCTGCAAGTGCTCACAGCCCCTCAGTGCCATGGGTTAGGGGTGGCCTTGGCGGTGCTGGGGTAAAGGTTGGACCGGATGAGCTGAAAGGGCTTTTCCAGCCCCGTGGATGCAATGGTTCTGGGAGGGATGGGGCACACACGGGTTTCAATGGAGACCCCCCCCACACCTCACTCACCACCAGCAGCAGCGCTCGGCTCCGGCGCAGGGCCCCGCAGCAGCCCAGGAAGCCCAGCAGCGCCAGGGCAGTGCCCACGGCCAGCAGCAGGAAAGCACCAGCGCTCAGCACCCCATTGGCAGCCACGATGTGCTGGAAACCGGATGGGTCCACGGCCACCCAGAGCCCCACGGCCACCAGGCTCGTCCCCCCGGCCTGCGGATGGGCCGCGCTTATGGGGTTGCAGGGACCATCCCCAGGCACCCCATGGGGACCGGGGGTGCTGTGAGCTCCGCCGGGTCCCCATCACCGTGGGGGTTATGGGGAACACACACTCACAAACACCAGCGCGTTGAAGATGAGCATCAGGTACTTGACGCAGCTCAGGACACCCATGGGGACACCCGGGGGGCTTCACAGCAGCGTTGGTCCCTATGGAGGGGAGAGCAGAGCCTGGACCCCAACCCGAGCATCCTTTCCCTCTGTCCCCATGGCACCCTCCGGACCCCACCAGCACTCACCCTGCGGGGCCTCCGAGCGGCACGGGGAAGGCTGGAAGCTCCCTGCCAAGGGGAGAAGCCCCTTCGAGGGGGGGGACCATGAATGATTGATGGGGAACAGGATCCGCCATTGTCCGGGTGTCCTTAACGGGGGTAACCAAAGCCCGGGCAGGGAAAGCCGAGCCGGGCCCCACAGGCGGGGGGGACCTCGGGCATCAGTTACTGCTGCGGGGAAGCCCTCGGGGGAGCCCTGTTGCGGACAGCGGGGACCGGGACGGGCCCGTACCCCCACCCCCCCCCCATCCCCGCCCCAGCTCTGCCCCGTTCAACCGGGCTCCATCACCGCCCTCCCCCGCCCCGCCAGTAGGGGGCAGGCGAGTGCGCGACCACAGAGACAAGGCGGAGCCGCTGGGGCGGCTTCTCCAATCGCAAAGGGGGCGGGAGAGATAGACAGCTGCTGTGGCCAATCAGAAAGCGGCGTTTTGTTAAGGGGCGGGGCGTCAGCGTCGCGCGGGGAGGAAGCCGCCCCGGTCCCTCAGCGTCGCTTCCGGTGCCGCCGCCGCCGCCGCCCTGCGCGGGATGTAGCGGCCGGTGAGTGCGGCGTGGCCGGGGCTGTCGTGATCGCTATCGTGATCGCTATCGTGATCGCTATCGTGATCGCTGTCTGTCGTGATCGCTGTCGTTATCGCTGTCACTGTCGCGGTGCCGCCGGGCCGAGGCCCCGGTTCCCGGCCGGGCCGCTCCTCACCTCTCCGCTCTTTCCCCCCCCTTCCTCACAGCGCGGCGGCACAAGGACGCGGAGGACCCGGCCCGCCCGCCCCCCCCCTCATGGCGTCCCGCAAGGCCTCCGCCGCCGGGCCGGGCACCGCGCTGGGCACCGGCGGCCGCGACAGAGCGCACCTGGAGCTGGCCGAGCTGGGGCCGCTGCTGGAGGAGAAGGGGGAGCAGGGAGCCGCCGGCTCGGCCGCGGTAAGCACCGCGCTGGGGGGAACCCGCACCCGGACACCCGCGTGTGGCTGCGGTGGGGTGGGCCCGGAGCGGCTCCCGGTGTGCGGGGGGGGGCGTTCTGTGTCAGCCTCACGTAGGGGTGAGGTGAGGTGTCGGTCCCCGGCTCTTCCATGGCCCTGAGGGCTTCCCAAAGCCGTGAACGGGGGAGCCGGGGTGGGCAGAGCCTGGGAGCACCGGGAGCTGCGGGCTGGGCGCACGGGGATGGGTTTCCTGGGTGACAATCCCCCCCCTCCGGTAATCCCGCCTTGCAGCAGGGATAAACCCGGGATTACTCTGCCCGCGATGGGTAAAGCAGGGGCGCGTTGTGTAAGCGCTGGTGACCGGTGGGCCCTGCCTGGCCCCTTGGATGAGAGGGGACTCCTTGATCTCCATTCCTCCCATAGCCTGCAATGATTTCCCCTCCAGGCTGAGGAGCCGCCGGGCCCCGCGGCCCGTGAGGAAGAGGAGGAGGTGGTCCGTGTGCTGACGCTGCCTCTGCAGGCTCACCATGCCATGGAGAAGATGGAGGAGTTTGTGTACAAGGTACAGGAGGCTGTAGCCCAGCTCCAGGTCCTGGTTTTGGGGGTGTTAAAGAAGCCCTGATGCCCTAAACCCCGGGGTGAAGGTGCTGGCCAGGGGCCGGGATGCGCTGCTGTGTCTGGATGCTCCGGCTCTGCTCCCTGCAGCATCTCATGGGAATGGTGTGGGAAGGGGATGCTGGGGTTGTGCCCAGCCATGGGGGACAAGCAGCGACCTGGGAGCAGTCCTGGTGTCTCTGTGGTCCTCTAACTGGGACCTGTTACTGGTCTAACTGTGGTGAGCAGTGCCATGAGCTGAGGGCCAGCCTGGTCCTGGTGCCATCTTTCCAGTCTGGAATGGGAGTTCCCCCTGCAGGGAACAGCGGCTGTGGAAGGGTTAAATCTAAGGCTGTAAGGATGTGGCTGGTTTAAGGGCTCCCTTGTGCTGTAAAACCCAATCCCCCCCCTCCCCTGAGAGCATCCCAGGGCATTTTCAGCCCTTCCTGGGCTTATTCCATGCAGGACTTGGGGCTCCGGGGCTGGGTGCAGCTCCAGGGCTCAGCAGCATCCCGGTGTCGTGGTGCAGGTGTGGGAAGGGCGCTGGCGGGTGATCCCCTACGACGTGCTGCCCGACTGGCTGAAGGACAACGATTACCTCCTGCACGGGCACCGCCCGCCCATGCCCAGCTTCCGCGCCTGCTTCAAGAGCATCTTCCGGATACACACGGAGACGGGCAACATCTGGACACATCTGCTAGGTGCTGGGGCCTCGGGGGTGGGGAGCAGGCACTGCCTTGTACTGGGACCCCAGTTCCGGGCTGAGGCACTGCTGGTTGGGGCCTTTGAGACTGGGATGGAGAAAGGCACCCTGGGGAAAGCAGGGAAACCTGGGGGTGAACTCCCCTCTGCAACGGTGCCGTGTTCCCTGCAGGTTTTGTGTTGTTCCTGTGCTTGGGAATCCTGACCATGCTGCGGCCCAACATGTATTTCATGGCTCCTCTCCAGGAGAAGGTGGTGTTTGGGATGTTCTTCCTGGGAGCAGTGCTGTGCCTCAGCTTCTCTTGGCTCTTCCACACCGTCTACTGTCACTCGGAGAAGGTGTCGCGGACCTTTTCAAAGTGAGTCAGCACAAGGGCTTGCAGGGCCTCACGGGAGGCTTTGGCATCCTTTTATCCATGCCTTTTATCCCTGGGGAGAGTTCACTGAGTCCAGAGTGAACCACAGCTGGGTGCTGGGGGTCTCTGCTCTGTGCAGGAGTGCTTTAAATCATAGAACCACTGAATGGGTTGGGATGGATGGGAGCTTAAAGCCCATACAGCTCCAACCCCTGCCACGGGCAGGGACCCCTTCCACTGGAGCAGCTTGCTCCAAGCCCCTGTGTCCAACCTGGCCTTGAGCACTGCCAGGGATGGGGCAGCCACAGCTTCTCTGGGCACCCTGTGCCAGCGCCTCAGCACCCTCACAGGGAAGAGCTTCTGCCTAAGAGCTCAGCTCAGTCTCCCCTCGGGCAGGTTCAAGCCATTCCCCTTGGCCTGTCCCTACATCCCTTGTCCCAAGCCCCTCTCCAGGTTTCCTGCAGCCCCTTTAGGCACTGGAGCTGCTCTCAGGTCTCCCCTTCAGGAGCCTTCTCTTCTCCAGGCTGCCCCAGCCCAGCTCTCTCAGCCTGGCTCCAGAGCAGAGCTGCTCCAGCCCTCTGGAGCTGGCTCTCAGGCGATGCTAAACCCCAGGACCCGCAGCCTTTATGCCCCTCGTAGCAGCAAACAGGGGGCTCTGGGCACTGCTGGGATGTGCCAGTTCGGTGCTTTCCCATTTACTGGATGCTTTTGAACCTCTGGTTTGGATCCAGTCTGGACTGAAACCAAATGGGGAGGAACAAACCAAAGGGGTTCCCGGCAGTGACTGCGCTGGGCAGTGGCCAGGGCCTTCCCCCAGGGATGCTTGGGGCTGCTCTTGGATCTGAGCTCACATCAGCACAGGCAGAGCCAGGCCTTGCTCACACGGACCTGCCCAAGGCAGTTACTTGGGAGCTGTTTGCTGGGCAATGATCCTGTGGGATCATGGCTCCAGAGCACTCTGTGCAGCAGGAGCATCCTTTTGTACTGGGGACACCCCACCATGGTGAGGGGGGTGACACAAACTGCTCCTGTGTTGATTGAAAGTCCTTTGCTATGGAGTCAAATCCACGTGTGAGGACTTGTGCCACCTCCTCCTCTCCCTGTATGCTCAACACGGGGCTGCAGCGACTCCCTTTGGGTACCGATGCTGTTACCATGAGGACAGGAGGAGGAGGGTGGGTATTGGGGCTCCCCTGTGACTCCCCTGTCATTGCACCCCGCCTGCAGGTTGGATTATTCAGGAATTGCACTGCTGATCATGGGAAGCTTCGTCCCATGGCTCTACTACTCCTTCTACTGCTCCCCACAGCCAAGACTCATCTACCTCTCCATCGTCTGCGTCTTGGGCATCTCGGCCATCATCGTTGCGCAGTGGGACCGCTTCGCCACCCCTAAGCACAGGCAGACCAGAGCAGGTAGGGGCTGCCCCATCCTCCCACTGCAGCCCCAGCCCTGGGAGGGCTCTGGGCACCCTTCACTGATCCGGCCCAGCCTCTCCTCAATGGGAGGGCTGCGGTTGCCACTGGCAGCACCATCCCTGGGTGCGATGGGCTCTGCGAGGTGCCATCATCTCCTCCCCACCGCAGGCGTGTTCCTGGGGCTGGGGCTGAGCGGGGTGGTGCCCACCATGCACTTCACCATCGCCGAGGGCTTCGTCAAAGCCACCACCGTGGGGCAGATGGGCTGGTTCTTCCTCATGGCCGTGATGTACATCACGGGTGCGGGGCTCTACGCCGCCCGCATCCCCGAGCGCTTCTTCCCGGGCAAGTTCGACATCTGGGTGAGTGATGGGGAGCAGGCGGTCAATGGGGTGCGGGGTGGGGGTGTCCTGGTGCTCCTTTGGGGCTGCTCTAAAGGGCTTTATTGCTTCCTTTCCCCCCACCACCAGTTCCAATCACATCAGATCTTCCACGTGCTCGTGGTGGCCGCAGCCTTCGTCCACTTCTACGGCGTTTCCAACCTGCAGGAGTTCCGCTACGGCCTCGAAGGGGGGTGCACAGACGACTCTCTGCTCTGAGAGCGCCTGGTTTTAGTCCAAGCTTCCCAAGTGCTTTTTAAACTCTTTTGTCTTTGCTAAAAAGAAACAAAAATCGAAAGGAAGAGCCCCAAAACCGTGCGGGGTCCTTGGGATGGGGTGGGGGGGGGGTGGGTTTTTAAAGCTAAATAACAAATTCCTTAGCAAAGTTGACCAAATCCTCACCCCCTGTTCCCCTGCACCGCCGGGGCACTGGGCAGCCAGCCCCTGGGTGAGCTGCAACCGGGGTCCCCCGAGCCCAACCTCGCATGCAACCCCAGTGTGTGCTGCAGCCCCGAGCACAGGCACAGGCACAGCCCCGGCCCTTGATCTGTTCTGTTTGTCCTTGACACAGTCATGTACCAGAGGAGAGACTATTTAATATTTAATACTATGCTTTAAGAAGCCTTTGCTGGCACCGCGCTGCCCTCGGCCCCCTCGCTGCCTGTGGGGGGGAAGGAAGGGCAGTGGGGCAGGGCAATGTAGAGCTGCTGTAGATTGAAATAAACAGGTCAATAGTTCTGTGTTGTGCTGCTGGTGTCGGGCTCTGATTTGTTTTTGGTGGGGGGGGTGTTGGGATGAGCACCAGGAGTGCCCGTGTGGGGCCAGCCCCAAGGGCTGAACTGAAACCCACAGGAAACTCCTGGGGGTTGCAGTGATGAGGGCAGGAAACAGCCCCTCCTGTGGGCAGGGAGGGGATCCTGCCCCTCTGCTGTGCTCTGGGGCAGCAGCACAAGAGGGACGTGGAGCTGTTGGAGCGAGGCCAGAGGAGGCCATGGAGATGCTGCGAGGGCTGGAGCAGCTCTGCTCTGGAGCCAGGCTGAGAGAGCTGGGCTGGGGCAGCCTGGAGAAGAGAAGGCTCCTGAAGGGGAGACCTTAGAGCAGCTCCAGTGCCTAAAGGGGCTGCAGGAAAGCTGGAGAGGGGCTTGGGACAAGGGATGTAGGGACAGGCCAAGGGGAATGGCTTTAATGGGCCTCTGTGCCCTCCTTCCTGGGATCAGCGCAGCAGAAAGGATGCTGCGGGTGGGGGATGAAGGACACCCAAAATCATGCAGAAGCACGTGTGAGGGACTGGCCAGTGCATATGGTCATGGGAGATCTGAGGGTAAGAGCCATTTGCCTACAGTTCCCCTCCAGTGCAGCCCTAAGACAGCTCCATGGCATGGGAGCAGGAGCTGTGGGATCTGAACACTGACCCTGAGCCCAGAGGCATCCACGTGGTGCTGGACACACGGGGATGGACACACAGGGGATGCTCTGGAGCTGATGGGGCAGGGTGCAATCCTCTCTGACACTCACAGTGGGGTCTCAGCTGGAGCCAGGAGCGCTGCCTGGGTGACACAGAGCAGGAAACCTGCCTTTAGGAGCCAAGTCAGTGGCAAAGCCAAGGCACAGCCACACACTGTGGATGGCTTTGGGAAGATGCACCCCAACAGCAGCTCTAGGAACATGGAAGGTACCAGATTCAACTGCTGGGAATCCTGGAGCGGTTTTAGCATGGCCAGGGAGTTGGGAACAGGAAACTGTCCCCTTTCCATGGTGATGGATACAGGAGAGGGGCAGATTTGCACTTACACTTTGTACAACCCCAACTGAGCCCTTGGGCAGCCGTTACCCTGCTGCTTCTGGGGTATCCCCACCCTCTCCTCCTACCAACCACAAGGGTTCCCTGACAGAGCAGAGGTGGAGCTCCCTGCAAGGCAGAGGAGCCATGAAGCTGCTCAGGTGCCATGACCCAGGTCTTTGGGAGCACAGCTACTGCAGCAAGGCCAGCAGGAACAGCAAACCTCACTGGGGCTCATTGGGTACCTGCTGGAAGAGGGAATGTGCCTCCAAACTGGAAAGCAGATGGTTCAACCATGCTCAGGACTGGCTCTGAGGGTACCAAGGGCAGCTCTGGCCCCACAGCCCTGCGTGTGCTCTGGGCAGGGCTCACTGCACGCTCCCAGGAAGCAGCAGCACAGGAGCAGGATTGGTTTGCTGCCACCTCCTGCTAACAGAGGCTCAGAGCCTCAGGGTTTAGAGGGAGGTGGATCCATAAAGGCAGATTCAGCTTCAGCTGCAGAGCTGGGGCTGGGAGCAGTGTGGAAAGGACAGAACAGCACCAGAATACGTGTTGCTGGAAGGGATTCTCACTAGCTCGTGCACTCTCCTGCTAATACTCACTTTAGGAATGGAAACTGGGTGCAGATAAAACTCTTTTCCTTAAGCTGATAAACGGGAAGCGACCTAAATCCGGTGGGGAAGAGGCTCAATTCCAGCTGTGCTCAACGCGGGTGCTCAGAGCCACATCCCAGGGAAGACTCCAGAGGCTTCCACTGCAGTCTGTGTCCAAAGGATGACAAGACTCCCCTTGGTCCTTGTCTGAACCCTCCGTGTATTCTACCAGACACTCACTAACATGACAGCAATGGAACCTAGCACGAATAAATAGACCTGTCCTCTTCTGCAAGTTCTCCTGCGTGGCTCGACACCAAGAAGTGCTGAAGGTTCCTCTTGGCGTGGTTCGTGTCAGAGATGACCCCTGGTGGGAAGATGCAGCACAGCCGGGGCTGGAAGTGAGAGCCGAGGAGAACCGGAGCGGAGGAGGATCACTGGTACTGCCTGTAGTCACCAAAGGGAGAGGGCGAGGGAGCGGGCGGCAGCTGGGAGGGATCGTCTGAGAACTGGGGGCCTGTGGCAAGGCAAGAGGGGAAAGGCAAAGAGTGAATGGGAAAGCCAGGAGAAACCCCCCCCCATCGGAGCTGGGAGCAGCTTCACAGCGGCTGTGTGCAGGAATGTCCCTTTGCAGACTGCTGGAGCCAGGAACATTTGGGTTTGGCTTTGTGCATCTGACAGATCCAGAGGGCTGGGCTTGGAGGAGAAGGCTCCTGAAGGGGAGACCTTAGAGCAGCTCCAGTGCCTAAAGGGGCTGCAGGAAAGCTGGAGAGGGGCTTGGGACAAGGGCCTGTAGGGACGGGATGAGGAGAAACAGCTTCCAGCTGGAAAAGGGAAGAGTTTGATGAGGTATTAGGAGGAAGTTCTTCATTATGAGGCGACTGGAACGCTGGCACAGGGTGCCCAGAGAAGCTGTGGCTGCCCCATCCCTGGCAGTGCTCAAGGCCAGGTTGGACACAGGGGCTTGGAGCAAGCTGCTCCAGTGGAAGGGGTCCCTGCCCGTGGCAGGGGCTGGAGCTGGAGGAGCTTTAAGGTCCCTTCCAACCCAAACCAGACTGGGATTCTACACTTAAGAGCTTCAGGGTTGGACTTTCACCTCCTTTACTAACAGGGAAATGAACTGGAGCAGGGAGGGCAACACTTGCAGCCCTGTCAAGCAGCTGGAGGCCTCCTCCTCATCACCCTCGAGCTGAGCATCACCATCCACAACGGCTGCCCCACAGGAACTCGCCTGCCAACAAGGCAAGCCAGAAACGGACCCGATCGCCTGGAGTCGCCTTCCTGAGGCCGCTCAGGGAAGCAGTACAGGGGCTGTGTGCTGGGTTTAGGGAAGCTGTGGAACTCCTGCTCCAGAGCAGAGGAACCTCAAAACCTCTTTGTAATAAGAGAAATTGTTACAGCTTAAACTGAACAAAGGGCAGGAGGGAACAAGCCCGGGCCAAGAAGCCCCTTAGGAATTCGTGGCTTGCTCCTCACCCTTCCAACACCAGTGGGTTTGGCTGCGTTCATAGAATCATGGAATGGTTTGGGTTGGAAAGGACCTTAAGATCATCCAGTTCCAACCCCCTGCCATGGGCAGGGACACCTCACACTAAACCATGGCACCCAAGGCTCTGTCCAACCTGGCCTTGAACACTGCCAGGGATGGAGCATTCACAACCTCCTTGGGCAACCCATTCCAGTGCCTCACAGTAAAGAACTTCCTCCTTAGATCCAATCTAAACTTCCCCTGTTTCAGTTTGAACCCATTACCCCTTGTCCTGTCACTACAGGGCTACTCCCAAAGTCAAAGCAGGGGACAGAGGGTGAAGTATTTTACACAGGGAGTACTGACACAAACAGGTTCCACCTGGGCCAACTGAACCCTCAGCTGGTGCTTCCCTCAGGGATGTTGCATTGGAAGCAGGCTACTGAAAAACCACCACTAACTCCTGGGAATCTCTCCTCTGGCTCCTTTGCTGATCCCTATCACCTCCTTTAACCCAGGGCTCCCCACACACCTGCACGCAGACCACAGGCACCTGGGTAAACCACTCCTGTGCCCACAGCCTGCTGCCTGCTGCTCCATCAAACCCAGTGTCTCCCAGTGCTGAGTGCAGCCCTGCTGCTGCCAACAGCCTCAGCCTGGGTGGCTGCACAGGGACAGGGCAGGGCAACCGGGGCAGCCCTGCTTTGAGCCTCCAGGCACCCAGAGGGAAGGCAGGGATGAGCTGCATCCATCCGCCTCCCCCTGACTCCCAACCAGTGGAGGAGATGGACTCTGTGCTCAGAGCAGGGGTACATTGGTAAAGGCCCTGCTTTGGGACAGTGACACCGCATCCCTGGGGGCTCCTCACCGTTTGCAAACTGTGTGGAGGCAAATCTTGTCAAGAGAATTCCAGCTCCTTCGATTAAAGCCAGCAGAATTCCTCCCATGGCAGCAGATCCCACCATGGCAACGGGGCCGTCTGAGAATGAAAAGCACAAAAACACCACTTTTGAGTCCCCTTTGCACCTTTAGCTCTTGGTGCAGCTCTTCTCTCTCCTAGAAGCAGACTCAGAAGCAGTCGTTTTGCATCCACGAAGCCTCATTGGCATCACCAGTAATAGGATCATGACTGAGCAACTCTCCCCCTCCATGGAAACAAAGGAACTGGATAACGTTTCCCTACTTGGTGCTTCCCTGAGCACAGGACAAAAGCCTCCCATTATCTTTCCAGTCCTCTGAGAAAGGAAATTCCACTTTGGGTACCACAGGTGCTTCACTACAGTGATGAGAACATTTATAATACAGAGGTTTTTCAACCCACAGCCTCAATTCCTTACTTCTTGCAGCTAATATGGCTCCAGTCAGGGCTCCGCTGGTGATGGAATTCCAGGGATCCTCCTTCCCTCTCATTCTGACCATACTGCAGTCAATCATGGAGAAGAGGCCTCCCC